AAGCCTATTTTACGAATGTGTTTCTAGATTTAACTTGATCATTAATTGCATTTATTATTATCCTATTTCTGCTATTCTTTGAATTTCCGAAGCCCTCGGATGTCGTTCTATCTCATTCGGTAAGTACTGTTTAGAAATATCGTCAATATTGTCCAACAAGTTCATTCAATCGAATCCTAAATACGAGAGCAAATAAACTATATTGATTATTCTATCGTATTACTTTAATAAGCATGGCATGCAAATATGCGCATGCGTATCCCACACAAGTAAATTTATTTCACAGACACACATCATTTGCTTGTGACAAAATTTTTAAAAAATTGCTCTTTATATTCAACAGGCACATGTACGTGTTTGGGAAGTCAAGTCTTTGTGTACCCATGCTATAATTGGTCTTGATTGCTTTGAAGTTGGAATATCTGCACTTAGTTTTTCAAATGAGGTATGACATGTGAGCAACATTAGTCTAGCTAAAAACTTAAGTCCCACATATGCCTATGTATTTGAACTTCATCACCAAGCACTCATCATAGGCCCTGACCTATGTATACCGGTATATGTTTTTCTAAAATCTTTGATTGATGCAAACGTACAATTCATGAATTATTTACTCGCTATTTATGAGAAGATTCGGTCTTTAACATTTTATTCCATAAACTTTTAGAATGATGGCAAATGGTTATTAATAGTGGACAATAGTAAACACCACATCATAAGTGTTTGGGACTGGAACGAAGATTTGTTGCTGGCTCAAAACGAGGTAAGAGACAAGAAGAACTGCGCCAATCACGTACGGTAATTTACCTAGATAATTGTATTATTATGAAAAGTGGTGTCTACGCGGGGTTGGCGTAGTTATGTTGGTGGCCGTGATAACATTTTTATTCATTGCTTTCTAAGCAACTTTCTTTGCGAACTTTTTTTTTTTCAGGAATATGAAATAATAATTGCTAGAACAGACGATGTTGAGGTAGAATGATTGCTGTGCCATAGGTCTATACTAGCATGTTGCATTAGTTTGAGCCAACTGATGAATAATTGACTGATGAGAGACTGACTGGCTAATTAACTGACTATGATTAGCTGAGTGGTTTTTGACTAATTGACTGACTAATTGGCTGGCTGCGTGAATGACTGATTGTCTGAGTGACAGTGAGTGAGTGAGTGACTGACTTATTGTCTAATTGGCTGACTGGCTGGCTGAGCGAGTGAGTGAGTGAGTGAGTGACTGACTGACAAACTGTCTGGATGACTAGTTGACCGAATGACAAGTTGAATGACTGACTGTCTAAGTAACTGACTGACTAATTGACTAACTGAATGACTGGATGAGCGAATGGTGCTGACTAGTTGAGTGACGAACTGACTAGATGAGTGACTGCTGTCTGAGGGAGTGAGCGAGTGACTGGTTAATTGCCTCACTGACTGGCTGCTGAGTGTGTGACTGACTGACTGACTAAGTTGACTGACCAAATGGCTACTTGACTGACTGACAGACCGACCGACCGTGTAACTGACTGACTAGTTGATTGGCAGAATGACTAGTTGACTGACTGACCGTGTAACTGACTGACAAGTTGACTGACAGAATGACTAGTTGACTGACTGACCGTGTACAGACAGACAAGAATACTCACTCGTTCATTAATTGATACTGATTGACATAATACTGACTAACCGACTTCCAAAGAAATTGGGTAGTGGTGACTTATTAATTGATACGCCTGTATTCATTGACTGATTGACTGTTTAAAACATTGTATTCTTCAGAATATTTCTTTCATCAAATGTGTATGCTGTGATAGAAAAAAAAGATAAATACAAAAGCATTTCATAGAAACAATGTAGAGCACTTGCACTGACTTACTTAACCCTACTAACATTATATATATATACCGCCCTGTATCAGGCA